CCAATAAACGGCTTGATTTTTGTTTTTTTTGTTTTCGCCCCCTAAACGGAAAAACCAGTCAATTTTCGGTTTTAGAAGTGGGCGTGGCTTTCAAGCCCGCCGGTCCAGTGCCCTTCAAAATAAAGGCATGGCATGGAGAAACTTTCGCTGTATTTCCTGCCCTCATCGTAGCTTTTGCTTGTGTTCGAAATTAAAGCAGGTCTTATACATATATAAATATATACATATATTTAGATGTAATATATATTTATATTTTTTATAGCTACAGGGTTTACTCGGAATAAAGTCATCAGAGAGATTTAACTGCGACAGAACAGACATGGTAAATTTGACACTCACGACAGGTATTTTAAATGACCAGCAGATGTCGCTGTGCATCTATGGGACAATTAATCGCAATGTCAAGCGTATTTTACCACCTCATAGTCAATAAATGGAACATTTATGAAACGGAGTGCTGTGTGAGTAACTTCATTTTTGTGGCGGTAAAAAATCTGGAATTTTTTTTTAGATATATCTGGGAAAACAGCCAATACAAACAGGAGTGAGGTGAAAAAAATTATCCCTGCATTTCCATGCCTGAGATGTTTGTACCTCTACGGCAAGATAATATTCTTATGTAAATACATACTGATAGGATACTATGCAAACTCAATTTTAACAGTCTTGCCGGGGCTGGGTGATTTGATTCTGCGCTGGCACATCGTCCTGCGCTTAAATTCAGATGTGCATAAAGGTACATGTTGATTCGCACTTTTTACTCGCATATGAGGGGACATGTAACATCAGGGGCTTTGGCTCAGACCCGTCATTTGTCCTTGTCCCTTTACAGTCTTTACGAATTAATTCCGTCCGCTCCAACAAAATCTGAGAACGTGAAACTGAGTCTTTGGCATGCGTAATTACAAAACAGCCAATACAAACAGGAGTGAGGTGAAAAAAATTATAGATCTCTCTCTCTATATATATATATATATATATATACAGGTGCTGGTCATAAAATTAGAATATCATGAAAAAGTAGATTGATTTCAGTAATTCCATTTAAAAAGTGAAACTTGTATATTATATTCATACATTACATACAAACTCATATATTTCAGATGTTTATTTTGTTTAATTTTGATGATTACAAATGACAACAAATGAAAATCTCAAATTCATCATATCAGAAAATTAGAATATTGTGAAAAGGTTCAAAATTGATGGCCCCTGGTGCCACACTCTAATCAGCTAATTAACTCAAACCACCTGCAAAAGCCTTTAAATGGTCTTTCAGTCTAGTTCTATAGGCTACACAATCATGGGGAAGACTGCTGACTTGACAGTTGTCCAAAAGACGACCATCGACACCTTGCACAAGGAGGGCAAGACACAAAAGGTCATCGCTAAAGAGGCTGGCTGTTCACAGAGCTCAGTGTCCAAGCACATTAATAGAGAGGCGAAGGGAAGGAAAAGATGTGGTCGAAAAAAGTGTACAAGCAAGAGAGATAACCACACCCTGGAGAGGATTGTGAAACAAAACCCATTCAAAAATGTGGGGGAGATTCACAAAGAGTGGACTGCAGCTGGAGTGAGTGCTTCAAGAACCACCACACACAGACGTATGAAAGACATGGGTTTCTGCTGTCGCATTCCTTGTGTCAAGCCACTCTTGAACCACAGACAGCGTCAGAAGCGTCTTGCCTGGGCTAAAGAGAAACAGGACTGGACTGCTGGTGAGTGGTCCAAAGTCATGTTCTCTGATGAAAGTAAATTTTGCATTTCCTTTGGAAATCAAGGTCCCAGAGTCTGGAGGAAAAGAAGAGAGGCACTTCATCCACGTTGCTTGAAGTCCAGTGTAAAGTTTCCACAGTCAGTGATGGTTTGGGGTGCCATGTCATCTGCTGGTGTTGGTCCATTGTGTTTTCTGAGGTCCAGGGTCAACGCAGCCACATACCAGGAAGTTTTAGAGCACTTCATGCTTCCTGCAGCTGACCAACTTTTTGGAGATGCAGATTTCATTTTCCAACAGGACTTGGCACCTGCACACAGTGCCAAAGCTACCAGTACCTGGTTGAAGGACCATGGTATCCCTGTTCTTAATTGGCCAGCAAACTCTCCTGACCTTAACCCCATAGAAAATCTATGGGGTATTGTGAAGAAGAAGATGCAATACACCAGACCCAACAATTCAGAAGAGCTAAAAGCCACTATTAGAGCAACCTGGGCTATCATAACACCTGAGCAGTGCCACAGACTGATCGACTCCATGCCACGCCGCATTGCTGCAGTAATACAGGCCAAAGGAGGCCCAACTAAATACTGAGTGCTGTACATGCTCATACTTTTCATGTTCATACTTTTCAGTTGGCCAACATTTCTATAAATCCTTTGTTTTTATTGGTCTTCAGTAATATTCTAATTTTCTGATATGATGAATTTGAGATTTTCATTTGTTGTCATTTGTAATCATCAAAATTAAACAAAATAAACATCTGAAATATATGAGTTTGTATGTAATGTATGAATATAATATACAAGTTTCACTTTTTAAATGGAATTACTGAAATCAATCTACTTTTTCATGATATTCTAATTTTATGACCAGCACCTGTATGTATATATATATATATATATATATATATATATATATATATGTATATATATATATATATATATGTATATATATATATATATATATATATATATATATATTCACTTTGAATGTTGAATTCACTGTGCTTTAACACATGTGGAATTATATAATTATCAAAAAAGTGTGAAACTGCAAATATATCTTATATTCTAGGTTCTTCAAAGTAGCCACCTTTTGCTCTGATTACTGCTTTACACACACTCTGCATTCTCTTGATGAGCTTCAAGAGGTACTAGTTTGCCCTTTTGCTTTCACTCTGTGGTCCAGCTCACCCCAAACCATCCTGATTGGGTTCAGTTCCGGTGATTGTGGAGGCCAGATCATCTGGTGCAGCCCCCTATCACTCTCCTTCTTGGTCAAATAGCCCTTACACAGCCTGGAGGTGTGTTTGGGGTCATTGTCCTGTTGAAAAATAAATGATGGTCCAACTAAACCAAATCGGATTGAATAGCATGTAGCTGCAAGATGCTGTGGTAGCCATGCTGGTTCAGTATGCCTTTAAGTTTGAATAAATCCCCTAACCCAGCAAAGCACCCCCACACCATCACACCTTCTCCTCCTTACTTCACGGTGGGAACGAGGCATGTAGAGTCCATCCGTTCACCTTTTCTCCTTCGTAAAAAGACGATGGTTGGAACCAAAGATTTCAAATTTGGACTCATCGGACCAAAGCACAGATTTCCTCTGGTTTAATGTCCATTCATTGTGTTCTTTAGCCTAATCAAGTCTCTTTCGCTTGTTGGCTGTCCTTAGCAGTGGTTTCCTAGCAGCTATTTTACCATGAAGGCCTGATTCACACAGTCTCCTCTTAACAGTTATTCTAGAGATGTGTCTGCTGCTAGAACTCTGTGTGGCCTCTGTTGACCTGCTCTCTAATCTGAGGTGCTGTTAACCTGTGATTTCTGAAGCTGGTGACTCTGATGAACTTATCCTCTGCAGCAGAGGTGACTCTAGGTCTTCCTTTCCTGGGGCGGTCCTCATGTCAGCCAGTTTCTTTGTAGTGTTTCATGGTTTTTGCCACTGTACTTGTGGACACTTTCAAAGTTTTCCCAATTTTTCAGACTGACTGGCCTTAATTTCTTAAAGTAATGATTAATTTCTTAAAGTAATGAATTTTTCTTTACTTAGAATTTGTATTATGGCAATAAAAAAGCAGCTAACAGTCTATTCAGTAGAACTATCAGCTGTGTATCCACCTGACTTCTGCACAACACAACTGAGGGTCCCAACCCATTTATAAGGCAAGAAATCCACTTATTAAACCTGACAGTGGACACCTGTGAAATGAGAACCATTTCAGGTGACTACATCTTGAAGCTCATCAAGAGAATGCAGAGTGTGTTCAAAGCAGTAATCAGAGCAAAATGTGGCTACTTTGAAGAACCTAGAGTATAACACTTATATTCAGATGTTTCTTTCTTTATTCTTAAGTATATAATTCCAAATGTGTTAATTCATAGTTGTGATGCCTCCAGTGTGAATCTACAATCCTCATAATCATGAAAATAAAGAAAACTCTTTAAATGAGCAGTTGTGTTCAAACTTGTGGTCTGTACTGATTACACATATATATATATATATATATATATATATATATATATATATATATATATATATATATATATATATATATATATATATATATATATATATATATACTGTCTATATACCTATCAAGGAGGTTTGGTGTGTTATAACAAGGCCACTGCTTTTCTTTCCTCATTTTTATTTTAAAAAATTACAATGCGATTTTGAGCCCCTAAAAGAACATTAAAGAGCAAAAAAAGTACTTTCTTGTGCACACTAGTTGTGCACAGTAATTACATTCCTGTGCACAACAAATACTCAAGCTGTAGAATGTCATATTTTAAATTAAAATTGTGTTGTCACATATTTGAAATTTAGCATGGTCTTGAAGAGGCTAGACATAAAGGTAAAATAAGAACAGAACCTGGTGACAAACAACTACCTTTAACACTGCAAAGCTGTCACAAGTTGTACAACAAGGCAAAACAAGACCAAAACAACAAACCTCCAAAAACATAAATAATAATAGACTTGAAGAAACTGGCTCTGTGCTGTGAATAGCTCTGGATGTTAGAGTCTAGATAGGATGTTGCACAAGCTGCTGTAAGTGAAGAACTATTCACACCCTCTCTACACAACTGAAGAGACAATTAAGTGTTCACCACCAGTGTGTTGTAACATTAGAATAGCTCATGATCAAACAGTCGTTGAGATGGTTCACTAACAATTACCAAATTTGATGGCAAAACAAAATTTATTATTTTACTAAATGACAGTATAGTTCTCTCTCCTGACAGTTGCAGATTAAGTCATATTCTTTCTGGAGTTCAAAGACCTCCCATACAGGTAAAAAAATGCCCAGGTTAAAGTTATTTAGAAAGGCAAAAATGTTTTTTAAATATCTCAAACTTATTCAAGCTGAACCATAGGCTGACATTTCAATAACTTCACAGCATTATTTAAGACAAAGTTTTATTAAAGTGGAATGAAATGTAAAAACTAGTTACATAAGGCAATAGCTTAAAGTTTACAATAGAACATAACATATTTCCAGTTTTTGTACATAATTAAGTAATGTGCCATTAAGGTTTAAAGGCAATTCATGTAATTATGACATGAAATTAAAGTAAACATTTTTTACTTTTTGCATTATGTTAAACTACGCACTAAAACAATATATTTGATGCCAGTTGTCTCTGGATAAACGTTTACAAATAAAATGAAGCAATACTCTATGCATTAAAGAAACGGCTTCACAAATAAGTAACTCCACTAGTAGTGTGAATTTAATTTCTAAATTTCTTTATGGGGCAGTGATAAATTTTACATTCAAACTGGAACAGTGTTTTTTAAATATGTAGTGAAAAGTTTACAACACTGTCAGAGTTAAAACATTCATTACAGAAATATTTTCCTCCTCTAGGAAGACAGAATCATGACAGTAACTTTCACTTCAGGGTGTTTTCTTTTGTGTAGAGTTTAAATTGATCCATCTCCAGCAAGAGTTCTTAGAGGACTTTAAAAGTGTAGCACAAAATAGGAGGGTATGCACAGTTCAGGGCATAAATCAGTCCCATAAGCAGTGGACAAGCTTTCGCTGTACTCTTGCATCCTGGGACAATCTCATAGCTGTCAGATTTTGAAAACAGAGTTACTGACATCACTGTGCTGTCCTCGCCCTGAGTTTTCCCAACTTTTCAGCCGGCTAGACAGCCAGACAACGACGCTCCAATAACCAAACTTCTTTCTCTTTTCAGTTGTTTATTGAAGAGTGGCCTCTGACCACTGCCATCGCTTTAGCCATCGTAAACTGTAACATACAACCATTACAAATCCATCACTCTTGTAGCAAGCCAATAAGTTCAGCATACAATTATTTACACCACAGTTACATAAGGCAAAATGACTTATGCTAGATATTGTTACAGATTAACGCTTCAGAAACATCAAATCAAAAACTAATAAAGTCAGAAACAGCTTCTTCCCCTGTGCTGTGAGGGTATCCCATCTGATGTGAGACAGTGGTCTAACACATTTTTCTTTCTATACAATATTTGAATTTGAAATATTAAAAACTATATAAAATAAAGCAGGAAACCTAAACCTAGCCGGAGTGTCTGAAAGAAATTTCACAATGGTAACATGCTGCGATAATTACCCATTTATGAATCACTTTCAAACACTATGTCACTTTAAATGAACCCCTTGTTCAAGATTATTTTTAAATGTTTGAAAACATGACCTACCAAGCAGTCCTAAACAAGTCATATTCCTTCTTCCCATGGTACAGTATAAGGCTGGAGATAATGGCTTCTCTTCTCACCTCAATGCTCTGTTTCTGTGAACAGATTAAGAACATAAACATAAGCATTATAAATACACAATGAGCATGTGAGGGAAGTTTAAGACTTAGGGGTGTCTTGAACCGATTGTGTGACCAGATATCAGAGAAAGAGCGAGATGAAGTGGGTGACTGAGGGAGCAATGGAGAAGGAGCAAAGTCAGTCAGTGAGGTGGGGACAGACAGGCAGCTGAGGGCAGCAAGACATCGTATTTTATTTCATAAATATAAGTAATAAGTTACGTCAATGCTGATACATCAATGGTGTCTTACAATGCAATAAATGTCACAGGCTTGTTATTGAGGTAGGTAGAGTAGTATTGTAATATTGTTACATCCCTAGTAGAGCACAAAGAACAGAAAAATACTGGGATGGTCCTGTTAATCTACATGAAACACTTTACTGCATTGCCAAAGAATTTGGTCTGTCTGTGAATCAGAAAAAAGTAGGTCCATCTCCCTGTAAAATATATAAACAAGCAAAACCAGCACACCTGACTCAGTCGGTCCAGGAGCAAACTCGTCTTGGGCCCCAAAACTCCCCCCCCTGGCTTTCATCAGCTTTCGTGTGTATTTGTCAAGTTTTTGCCTGGTTTGATCCACTGGAATGGTTGTTGTTCTCCTGAATTCCTCTTTGATCTGAATCAACAAAAGATTCACAAGTACAACTATATTTTGATTGAAATTTACATGTTCAAATGGAGCATGAATTAGTTAATTAAAAATTATTCATTAAGCATAGTTACAGCTTAACAAAGTTAAATGCTTAAGGGCCACAAGAGAAAATAGGTCCTACAAAACAGTGAAATAACTTTTTATCTGTTATTTAAAAAAAAAACAGTTAGAACAATAATAAATAAAACAGAACAATAATAACTTACCTGTGAAATGACTCAAGTGCTACATGTTGCTCTGTGATCCTCAGACGTCTGGACACAGAAAGTCGGTCCTGTTGTAGCCACAGTGCGCATGCGTTGTGCGTTCGTCTCAAAACCCTGCATTTTCATAGTAAAGTTTGTTTAGAATGTAAGTGTATGTACATACAATAATTCATATTTAATGGTATAAGGAAACCTAAATACATCTCACTCTAACTATATAATTCACGTATTACTTAAAAATATTGAAAAACTCTATATCTTACTGAATCTTAAACTATAAATTAGAATGACAGTTATTCTAATAGAATTTACTGCAACAAAAAGTATTTTTTTCCCAACTCCAATCACTTCTAACCTCTTAACGTTTATAATCATTTTCATCCCCTTTCACAGCGACAGGTTTGTCACCTCAATCGCTACCTTGATCAGACAAATCTCTATTGCGCAGGGTGCTCTGCGTAATTACGCATGCCAAAGACTCAGTTTCACGTTCTCAGATTTTGTTGCAGCGGACGGAATTAATTCGTAAAGACTGTAAAGGGACAAGAACAAATGACGGGTCTGAGCCAAAGCCCCTGATGTTACATGTCCCCTCATATGCGACTAAAAAGTGCGAATCAACATGTACCTTTATGCACATCTGAATTCAAGCGCAGGACGATGTGCCAGCGCAGAATCAAATCACCCAGCCCCGGCAAGACTGTTAAAATTGAATTTGCATAGTATCCTATCAGTATGTATTTACATAACAATATTATCTTGCTGTAGAGGTACAAACATCTCAGGCATGGAAATGCAGGGATAATTTTTTTCACCTCACTCGTGATTTTATTGGCTGTTTTCCCAGATATATCTCTAAAAACATTCCAGATTTTTTACCGCCACAAAAATGAAGTTCCTCACACAGCACTCCGTTTCATAAATGTTCCATTTATTGACTATGAGGAGGTAAAATACGCTTGATATTGCGATTAATTGTCCCATTGATGCACAGCGACATCTACTGCTCACCTGTCGTGAGTGTCAAATTTACCATGTCTGTTCTGTCGCAGTTAAATCTCTCTGATGACTTTATTCCGAGTAAACCCTGTAGCTATAAAAAATATAAATATATATTACATCTAAATATATGTATATATTTATATATGTATAAAACCTGCTTTAATTTTGAACACAAGCAAAAGCTACGATGAGGGCAGGAAATACAGCGAAAGTTTCTCCATGCCATGCCTTTATTTTGAAGGGCACCGGACCGGCGGGCTTGAAAGCCACGCCCACTTCTGAAACTGAAAATTGACTGGTGTTTCCGTTTTGGGGGCGAAAACGAAAAAACCAAAATCAAGCCGTTTAATGGATTTTGGTTTTATGTGCAGAAACCACAAAACGGGAAAACGAATCGTTTTCTGAGGAGAAAAAGGAGAAAACGGGCGTTTTTCTGTTTTTTCCATGTTGAATTATACCGTTTAATCAAACTGATAAAAAGTACCTTCGTCCTGATCTTTGCAGTGAAAAGAGGAGGAAGGTTGAACGGATCCTGGAAGAGAGAAACTAAGAAACTAAGCTCTACAGCCTGGAGCTAAAACTGCTGAAGAAAATGAGAGAAATTGTTTTTAAGCTTCTCTTTATGTTTCCCTGAAGGGTAATGCAGATTAATGGGAAGATTGTTTATCTGGGAACTTTTATCTCCTCTGTTTTATAAACAGGAATGTTTGGTATTTATAATACCCCAAGTAAAGCTTTAAAATGCTGTTTAATAACCTGTTGGAGGTTCATGTTTTTCTGTGTTTTTTTTGCTGTGAGAGAAAAACTAAATCTTTAAAACATTTTTAATAAATGTGTCTAAAATAACTTTACTATTAAAGCGTTTTATGTGTTTATATTAAACTGAGGCATCTGTGTTAAACAATAAAAGGTTCTAAAGGAAAAAATTTCTGCTTTTTAATTTGTTTATCTCAAATTTATTTAAAGAAATGAACATTTAAGGATTTTAAAATAAGGTTTAAAAAACAACTATAGTAACTGACACAAATAATTCTATGTAACATTATTTAAAATTAACCTATTTTTCATCTTCTACACACTAAATTGTTTCTTAAACTTAAATAAATTAGATTTAAGTCTCAGTTTGCACAATAGTTATTTTAATGACATTTAGTTGAACTCTTATGCAAAAATAATTAATCTGATTGAGAGAACCTCATCCAAGCAAACAGACCGACTCGATTGAACAACAGAGTTTTTGATAAACAAATCAATCATCAGATATTATAGGAAATATTTATGGAGGGATTTATGTTGAAATGATGGAATGAACCAAAATGCATAAAAAGCTGGACCTGAAAGAGAGAAATAATAAAATTCATTATAAATGGAAAATGTATAGAACATCATTTCTATTGAAATTATTTATCTAATTTATAGAATTACTAGAAATGTATGTGGTATATATATATGATATATATATGATCCTAGAAATAAAAAGTTACATATATTTAGTGAATGAATAAAAATAAGTGCATATATTTAACACTAAAACACAGTCACAAAATCAGAAACTGAACTATTTCTGAGTATCAGTAAATAATGCATAAAAAGGGAGAAAGCAAAGTTGGTGATTAACAAAGGTAACCAGCTTCTGCTCCTAAACATGAAAAAAAGTAAAGTAATGGTCTCTCTACCACCAGTTAACAAAGAATCTCCCACTTACAGTTCAGACACTAGAGCATTTTCTCCCTCCTACAAACAGCTTTCAGCTGCCTGTTTACGAAACGTTTAAAAAACGTTGACACCGCCAACATTGTTACTCCTGTATGTCTTCTATGACAAAGTCATGGAAAATATGACCTGCTGGTGCTGGAGGCATAATGCTGACATTTTATTTACAAAATAGTGCCTAATATACCAGTACATTATATTACTGGGATTGTTGATATCCGCTAGTTAGCTTCAAAGCTACTATGATCCGATACTGATAGCAATCTGATAATATCGTGGATCCCTATTTCATAATACACCATGAAGCATTTTGTGATGTTTTAATCTGTGAAAAGATCCCATTTATTTAAAATGTGCACTAAATATAACATCTCTAATTAGATCCTTGTGTGTTATTAAAAATAAAATCTAGCACTGATGCTTGATAAAATGCATTGAAATAATTGCGTAATTTATACATGAGAATGCTCTGAAGAATTTTTTTGCACCTCAACAGTTAGGAGTTGAGGACTTGAGATGCAATTAGTATTATAAACAAACATTTTACATTAATGTTGATGATGAAATTAATCAACTTTGAAGAATGTCCAAGTGTAAAAAAAGTACCGTATTTTGCACACTGTAACGCGCACCTAAAAGTGCTAAATTTTCTCCAAAACTGACAGTGTGCCTGCACCCTATGTTTGGAACAAGGTTATGCTTCAACAGGTCTCGCAACTACAGGGAGCTGCCGCCGACTCCATTTTCTCCTGCAGATGAAGTAGCGCAGGGTGCATACTGGTATATATGTCTGCAAAAATCTGAAATTTTCATTTACATTCATGTGTGTTAGGACTCCATAATGGCTCCTTTCAAGAGACACACATAGGACGCAGAGTTTAAACTCAATGCTATCAGTAACGCAGAAAAACATTGGAATAGAGCAGCAGCTCCAGAATTAAACGTTAATGAGGCAATCATGCTGAATTGTTGACTAGTAAACTAGCCCCATCCGCCAGCTTCCAAAATATTTTCTAGTCTAATTTCTGGATGCAAAGCGGGCGGGGTTTTGAGGCCACGACGACAAAGCTGCATGATGCTGGAAACAGCACAACAAGGAAGCAAAACTACTGAACAGTTCTCGTTTGACTCAGCTTTAGAATCAGTTCTGGAAGAATTAGACTTGGGGTTTTCGTTGAAACGTGAGCAGGAAGAGGCTCTACGCTCATTCATTTTTAAGAAGGACATATTCACCGTTTTACCAACAGGCTGTTTGTTTACACTCCCCCATCAGCTTTCTGTTGCACTTACTACGTCACAGTCAGTTGTGCTCATTGGTCAGAGCGTTGGCCAATAGGCCCAGACATGGTTTGAAAGCCAACGGGTTGTTCTCATCAACAATCTTCAAATGTCTCATTCAGACTTAATTACACATTTAATCTCACATTTAGTCTGGTTTATCAGGCTATCAAAATTGGAGGAAGCAAGTAGATGACCTGCACCAAGTAAAAAAGACAAAACAGAATTTACTTAGTAACAAAGCAATGAATACAGTTAGGGCCGGATTTATCAAGATCCAATTTTGCGTGCAGTAATTTGCGCTCGCAAACTGGAATTTTGCGCGAGGGGCTGAACCATGGTTTGCGGTTGATTTAACAAGAGTGATTGCGTAACTGGTGGCAGGTGCAAAACTGTTGGAGACGCCCTATTTAAATGATGGTTTTGCGCGTTTTGTGGTTTGCGGCAAAGTAGTTTGTAGTTTGTGCAAACTAGTGCATTAAGAAATTTAAATCTTACAGTGACACCCCCACCCCCTCCAAAACCTTTATTCCCTAAGGTGGTATGTGGCTGAATTTCTACTTCACTGCAGTAAAAAGAAAAAAAAAAAAAGTGGGAAGTCGGGGTTCTCCGTCAGGGCGACATGGCATTTAGAACGTCGGACAGCACTTCTGAAAAATGAGATTGGGAGATC